TGCACCCTTGGCACGGGGGGGGGGCTCGCTGCTACCGTAACGCCCCTAATAATGCCCCTTCAGATAATTATTGGGGTCTGGGGATGGAACCGAGGCCTCCTGGCACACCCAGCCACTGCCAGTGTGGGAGCCCAAGGACCCCTGGGAGCCATAACCCCCCCCCCCCCCCCCAGCTGCAGCCTCTAAGCGCCAGATGGGGTGTCTTCGTCCCCCTTTCAGGAGCGGCCAGTTCCTGCTGAGCGGTACCACGGAGGGGCTGGTCTCGGTGTGGGACACGGCTCAGCCCCCAACCGGAGACCCCGAGCCGGTGCTGGGACCCGTGCTGCAATTCCAGGCCCTGCGGGACTGCGTCAACGGGATCAGGTACTGGCGGGCGGGAAGCCCGGACGCCTGGGTTCTCTCCCCGGCTCTGGGAGGGGAGTGGGGGCTGGTGGGTTAGAGCGGGGGGGCTGGGAGCCAGGACCCCTGGGTTCTCTCCTCGGCTCTGGGAGGGGAGTGGGGGCTGGTGGGTTAGAGCGGGGGGGCTGGGAGCCAGGACCCCTGGGTTCTCTCCCTGGCTGTGGGAGAGGAGTGGGAGCTGGTGGGTTAGAGCAGGGGGGGCTGGGAGCCAGGACCCCTGGGTTCTCTCCCTGGCTGTGGGAGGGGAGTGGGGCTTACTGGTTAGAGCAGGGCAGGGGGAGGAGCCGGTGGCCCCCTCTTGACCCTGTCTCCCCTCTGTCCAGCCTGCACCCCAGCCTGCCCTTGCTGGCCAGTGCGTCCGGCCAGCGCGAGTTCCCGGAGCCATGGGACAGCAGTGAGGAGGACGAGGAAGTGGGGCCCGGGCCCCCCCAGCGCCCGGCCCGCGGCCAGAACTGCCTACAGCTGTGGTGGTGTGGGGAGAGCGAGGGGCACATCCCTGCCCCGTGATGCCGCCTGCCCGGACTGTGTGGCCACCGGATGATTCGGAAAGGGCGGCGGGGGGGCTCGGCTGGAGATTTCGGGGTGGCTGAGGTTGGGGGGAGATGGAGGGGAGGGATCTGTACATAACGCTCTTGGCTTTGTGTCTATTCGCCGGCTCGTGCGGAGCCATAAAACGTTTGGGTTTTTTATCATCCCCCCTGTACGTTTTTGGGGGGTGGGTGATGGACGAGAGTTGGGGCCGATACCCCGACCGGGGGCACTTCCACCCCAGCCTGCTCTCACCACTAGCCCCCACGCCCCTCGCACGCCTGGGGCCTGGGCTCTGGGTTCCCTGGATTTCATCCCTTTTGGTAGGCCCTACCATAACAACCAACCAGGAGACCCTACGATAACAAACCGCCTGTGGGGAATTGACCAAGTCCCCGAGGAAAATGAAAAGAAGGAAGACGGAGGAGGGGGCACGGTCTACCTGCCCCGCATCCCCCTCCGTCGTCCCAGTAACGGGGGGCAGGCAGGTCCGCCCCCCCACCCCAGGCGTGTGAAACCCACCCCAGAGCCGCTGTCTGGGGTCAGGCGGCCTAGCATGGGGCTGGTTTGTCTTGGCAGCGGCTGTCCAAACACAGCTGGAGATGGGTAAATAGCCCTCTCCACGCAGGAGGGAAGGGGGCCAGCGGGCTGGGGGAGTTGGCACGAGTGTCCGTTGAAAGGTTGCTGGGGCGGGGGGTCGTGAGTCGGGGCGCCTGGGTTTGGGAGCGGGGAGGGGGGTGGGTTCCGTGGGGGCAGCGGGGTGGGGGGAGGAATCCTTGGATAGATCCCACAGGTGGGCGCATCTCAGCGCCGGGCGAGGGGTCCCTGTATTAACCGCCGCCCCGCCCCAGAGGTGGCCGTATCTTGGTGCCGGGCGAGGGGTCCCCAGCATAACCAGCCCTGCCCCCACCCCCCCGCCTGGCTCTCCTCCTGTGGGTCGGGGTCCCTTTAAGAGCTCACCTTCTGGCCTTCTTCCCTCCCCACCTGAGTCTCCTGTTTCCAGCAGCATCCGGTTGCCACAGCAACCTCCTCTGATGTCACAAAGACGGGATCAGGGGCAACAGGAGCCCCCCTGCCTCCTTAAAGGGACCCTGCCTCCTGGGTTCCCATCCCAACCTGGGAGCCAGGACTCCTGGGTTCTGTCCCGGCTCTGGGAGGGGCCCCCCTGGTCTAACCACCAGCCTCCACTCCCCTCCCAGAGCCAGGCAGAGAACCCTGAAGTCCTGGCTCCCAACCCCCCTGCTCTACCTATTAGCCCCCACTCCCTTCCCAGAGGGGTCAAGGGGTGGGGAGAGACCTGAGATTAGATTGGCTGCTGGGTCTGATCCTGGCAGGGGCCGGGATGCCAGGGTAGATGGGCCCGTGGGCCTGCCGCTATGGGGTGACGGGGGCGGCCTACTGTGCCTCTGGCAGACCCTACAATAACAAAGTGACATTTGGGCCCAGTGTTCCCAGAAGACCCTACGATAACAAAGTGACAGCCACTGCCGGTGCTCATAAGACCCTACAGTAACAAAGAGGGGCAAGTATGCAGGGTGCTCAAACCATCTAATGATTTATTATTGTAGGGTCTCTCTCTGCCAACAGGTTCTGTTTTTTTGGGGGGGGGGGGTTGTTTATTCTGCTAGATTAATTAACATGGGGGGGTTGGGTTGGGGCAGATCTCAGCATGGGGCTGTGGGATAGGAATTGAGGAATCTCCCTGGTCTCTTAGCAGTATGGGGGCTATGACACACACTAGGCTGGGCTCTCCCAGAACGGGATTTAATTCCCCCTTTTTCTCTGGCGCGCAGCAGCTTTGGCTTGTTCCCTCCCAGCGCCTGTCCCTGCTTGTCCCAATATCCCACCTTCCCCAGCTGGCTCCGGACGTGCCTGGCTCCCCCGGCAGGGGGTGTGTGGCTGTGGGGTTCGGGGGCGAAACGGCCTCTTCCCCAGCCAGTGAGCGATGAGATCGGGGCTGGAGAAATGCCCCCAGTTGGTGTGGGGAGGAGGGGGAGCTCCTGGCTGCTCCTGCCCCGGCCCCTGCCAGCAGGGGGTGCTGTGGGGAGTGGGGGGGACGGGGTGGGGGCAGCTCCTGGTTACGCCGGTCCCGGCTGCTGGTGCAAACTCGCTGCAATAACAGATTCGGCCACCAGATGGTGCCAGCAGCCTCTGCATTGGGCAAATATTCCCCCCCCCCATTCTTATGGGCTACAGCCCCCCCAACCCCCCACCCCTGTCCCCTGCCGAGCCCCCCGCTCCCTGCCCCACAGCGCCCCCTAGCGCCACCCTGGGGCCAGCCCTGCCTGCCAGGGGAGAGCGCCCCCTGCTCAGC